TTTTTTTTCCCCCCCCCCCCCCCAATGTTTTAGTCTTTCTCTTTCTCTAGGAGAATAGTTCCTCTTCTCTCACTCTCTCTCATCTCATCTCTTCACTCTCTCTCTCTCTCTCTCTCTCTCTCTCTTTCTCTCTCTCTCTCTCTCTCTCTCTCTCTCTCTCTCTCTCTCTCTCTCTCTCTCTCTCTCTCTCTCTCTCTCTCTCTCTCTCTCTCTCTCTCTCTCTCTCGCGACCCGGTACCGCGAGCGGGCGGCGGCGGTCGGCGGGCCTCGACGCCCAACTTACAGCGCGCGATGGTGGGGACCGGCTCTCTATCCCGCGCGCGGCGCATCGTCCACTTCCGCTGCGATGGGCTCGAGCGCGCTCGCCCACGTCTCGAACTCCCTCTTGGAGCTGCGGAGCTTGAGCTCGCGCTCGCGCGTCTTGATGGTGAAGCGGTGGACGCCGTCGTCGCGCACCTCCTTGAGGAAGACCTCCGCACCGTCGCAGCGGAGCGAGCCGGCTGGGTGCTCGCCGCGCGCCGCGTCGTCCTCCGTCTTGTAGTAGGAGAGCTCGGCGCCGCCCGCGGGCAGCACGAAGTACCTCCGGTCCCACTTTTGTAGTAGCTTCATCTTGCCGCGCTCCTCGTGCCCGCCCGACTTCTTCTCAAGCCAGCCCCTGGCGCCGGTCCGGACGAGCACGGGCAAGCAGGGCGGGGGGCGCGCAGCGTCGGGGAGCTCCCACGTCGTCTCGTCCGACGGGGTGTGGTGAAAGTAGTGACGGCCAAACTCGTCCGCATACCGAGCCCACCCATTCTCGAGCGGGAGCGGGTCGGCAACCCGCCACTCGTGCGCCTCGCCTGCGGCAGAAAAGGCGCGGCGCATGTACTTTGCAGCGACAAACTCGCGCATGCGTCGGCTCTGGTTGCGGCCGTCTGCGGGCGTCGGCCGCCTAGCCGGTGGCCGCCACTCCCAGAAGAGAGAAGCGCGTTTGTTTCCCCACGACTCCATGTTGTCGACCCAGTCGTCGTTCCAGTCGTCAGCGGCGCAGCTCTTGACGCGGGAGATGTGCGTACCCAGAGAGCGATGCAGCCCCGAGCATCCGGCGCAGATGAATACTCCGATCGAGACGGACGCCCACGCCGTCCGGAACTCGACGTCGCCCTCACACTCGAAGCACTGCTTGTTGTGCGGCTCGCTGAGCAGGCTCTTGAGCCGCTCGGCGTTGCGCGCCTGCTCTTTTGCCGACGCTTTGTGCGTCGAGAGCACGACAATCCCGTCGCCGTGCATGACGCTTCGCGGCGACTCACCGCTCGAGGCCATCCTGCGGAGCACCTTGGCAGCCGCAAAAAGCGATCGACTTTCGCGCAGACACGCCTGAAAAGAATTTTTTACGCCTCCAAGTGCTCCAATCCTAATTTCTCACGACAATATGGGGCGTGCCGAGAGAGATCCCCTGTGCCCTGTGCCCAGCCCTCTCCGCGCCGCGATGCACCCTCCCCCTCGCTTTTGCAAAATCCTGCAAAGGTGGGGACGTGTCTGAGAGATTCTCTCTTCGTGTCTGTCCTCGACCCAGCCCTAGCTTGGGATGTCCGTTTTATTTCTTTATTTGTTTATGGGCGTGCCGTCCTCCCATCCCTCCTTTGGGTTGTTTGCTTTCTTTCTTTCTTTCTGGGCACGGGACTGGCGCGCACTCGTGGCACTAACACAGAGAAGCAAAAACAAATCTTCAGAGAAGAATTTTCTCAAGACTTCCTCCTCAAAAGAACTTACGGCGGTGGGAATTCTAGCGGGTACAGCAAGTAGCGGCGCGCCAACACACGCCAGCCAGCGTAGTGGTCCGTAGACTCGACAAGACAAAATTCTCCCTACTCGGCGTCGGCTCTGGGCCGGCGCGGGGGCCCCAGAGGGTGTCCATGCGGGGGGGGGATGGGGTCCGATGGCCCGCCGCCGATTTTTGCAGTTTTTTTGGCGATTTTCTACTTGTTTTCATGGGAATTCGGCGTACTTGCGGCCATGCTATCACGCCTTGCGACAGCCTGTCGGCGCTGTTGACCGTGCAATGATGCACAATTGATCACCTGCATAGCTCGCGGCCTTAGTATCCAGCATTCAGTGACGACCTGATCGTACGGCCAGTAGGAAGGTGTCCTTCCAGCGCGTGCACGCTTCTGACGCAATGCGCGTCACAAACTGCCTCGGATTGGCTGCTGGCACTCTCGAGGCTATGCCTACACAGCCTCGCGCGCATGGGCAGTCAAGAGGGACCATGCACTTCTCAGGACAGCGCCGGTGCCTCTCTCTTGGACCGGCAAACTTGGTGGTCTCGTGTCACCAATGTGACAAAACATTGTTTGGTATTGCTAAAAATCTCTCTCTCTCTCCCAATGTGGGACCAGTGCGGCATCGCGCCATCGACAGCTCTGAACTGCGCCTCACCACTGACCAGGAAGGCCGCCAAGTGGGCCAGCACCGGTCGCACATTGTGGCAGCAGTCAGCAGCGCATGTCTGGTAGCTAGAACAGCAGCGTCAGGGTCGCAGGGCCGGATCGTGTCAAGCCTCTCGCCCGGCCGGCCGCGTGCAGACGTCGGCCTGTCTGCTGTCTGGAGTGATCTGTCGGCGGTCAGTACGACCGATCAGGTCGGAGTTTTCTGATGGTTGGGGGGTCTATCTGTATGTACTCCTTGAGATCTTTCCAAATCTGCCCTCTACTTAACCGTACTTAATCGGGTAGGCGGTGGTATGAGCGAGTATGAGCGCCGGGGCCCCGTTTCCGCGCTGCTGCGCGGCGCACGGTGTGGGCCGGGGGGCCCCGCGCCACCCCAGAGGGCGTCGGATCTTGTAGCCAGTGAGCAGTGTTGAAAAAAAGAATTTCATCCCGCCAGCGTACGGCTGCCTAGACTGACTATAGACCCTTTGCCTGCCCCTGGCCAAGCTGCAAGCGCGCCCGCAGCCACCGCTCCCTCTAGACATACTGGCCCTTTGCTTGCCCCTGGCCAAGGCTCCGCCAGGCCGTGCGCGCTCCTCTGGTGCACACGAGGAGATCAGCCAATGATGCAGGCTCCGATCTTAGGGATCACTTTGCCGGCGCGCCCCTTCGGCTTGCCTCCGCCAGGCGCCGCGTCAGGCGATGGGGTGCTCGTGCTATCTGCGGAGGGGGTCCGCGACTCCCGAACGCGGGCAACCTCGTCGTCGAGTGAGCCCCTTTGCCTGAGCCTGAACCCGCTCTCCCGAGGCGTCGAGCGCTCGGGCCCAGCCTCGGGCACGCTCGTCAGCGAGCGCTCCGAAGAAGTGCTCAGGTACTTGAGGGACCCCTGCTTAAAGACGTGCTTGGCGATGGACATCTTGTCGGCCGACGGTTGCCGAAGGGTGCCAGGCGCGGCCCCCGACGGCTCACCCTCTGGCGTCTGGATGTTCGACGCCGCCTTGATGACGGCGGCCTGCTGCGCCTGGTACTCTGGCACGGCGGGGGACTGGATGGTGAAGAAGAATGAGGGGATACGCTCGGGTTCGTTGCACTCCACCGCCGTCTTGAGGAGGTGCATGAGCCCCTCTGCCGAGGTGGGGTTGGTCGCATGCAGCACGTTGTGCACGTTGATGAGTCGGATGAGCGAGTCCACGTCGGCCTGGTGCGGATGCGCGCTCAGCGGGTCGGTGAAGAAAATAACCGCGCCGATGTCTTCGAGGCACATCAGCGCCGCAATCTGCGCGTCCCCGCCCAGCGGACCCGAGGAGCACACGGCGCCGTAGACGACCTCGTCGTCCTCGCCAAAGACCGTGCGCAGCATCGCCATCGTCGACGCGGTGCCCGTCACGCGGAAACGCTTGAGCGTCTCGGCGTGCTCCTCCACAAACATCCTCATCGCCGGCTTCATGTGGTTGTGGGCGATTAGCGCGAGAGAGCGCATGTCGGACGGACCCAGCATCGAGGTACCCTCTTCGGACTTTTTGGACCGCATTGACTTATCGGACGCGAACAGGGATTCGAGCGACTGTTGGTTGTCGGCCCCAAATATGAGCTTCGCGCGGCGCGGGTGCCTCGATATCTCAGCCTCGATCCGGTCGAAGGCATCGTTGGTGAAGGAGGACGACAGGGCGACTCGTTTGATTGACGACTGAAGGATGTTCAGCTTTGTTGCCTCTCCGCTTATGGGCGGCGAATGGACCTTTGGCGCGGTGATTGGCGGCGACGCGGGCCTAGGCTGAGTTGCCCTCGGTTCTTTCGCGCACATTGGCGCGACAACACATGGTCGTATTGCAATAGGTACGTACTTTTAGCTGACTGGGAGAAAAGGGATCCCTCGTTTGGCGTGTCTGTTTTCTTTCTTTCTTTCTTTTAAAAGGGAGAGGGGGTTGGTAATATCACATATCTGCTGCATTGGCGCGACAACACATGGTAATATCTTCGGGCAACGCGGAATTAATTAGAGGGTAAGACTCTGACCTGTTCCGACTGTGATCAATCAGACCGAAGCTGAGTGAGTACTGACCTGTTCCCGAACGTCCTCACTTACGGATCATGGTCGGATCAGGGGCGGAACATGGTCTGGAAATTCCCTAGGTGCCGCCGCCGCTGACCGCTGTTCGAGCACGGTCGGATCAGGTCGGTCGATCAGGTCGGAACAGGGTCACAGTATTCGGAGTGTTCACGGCCTCTGCAGCCAGCATGTTTGAGAGACTACTTTATGTATCGTCGAGCGAGCGGACGAGCTCGGACCACTGCCAGACCACTGCCACCACCTGCCCCCAAAGTACAAAAAAGAAAGAAACCACGCAACCCAAAGTACACAGACGGCCGCTGTAATTCTTTTCTTCGCTGTGGCCATCACCTTTGTCCTGCCCTCTTATCTTTGCAACGCGCCCGCAGCCGGACGACCAAACAACCCCCACTTTGCGAGATGGCCGCCTCGCACACCAGCCTTCGGCAGAAGCGCGCCCGCGCGCACCTCGCGCTGCACACCGCGGTCCGCCGGTACGATGTGCCGCAGATCAAGGCGCTCATCGAGGACGGAGCCGAGCTGACAGAGGTGGACGAATTTGGCCGCACATCGCTTCACCTCGCCATCGTTGCGGCCTCGCAATCCCACCGCCAGCCAAACGGCGACGCGACTGTGCGGGAGATGGTCTCGGCGCTGCTCGCCGGCGACGTTGAGGCGCTGTGCGAGGTGCTCTGTCTGCACTCAGACGCGGGCCTCACGCCGCTCCACCTGGCCGCTCGCTGCGGCAACAGCAGCCTGATGGGGGTCCTGCTGGACTCCATCGACGAGGAGGTGCTCTCCGACGTGATGGAGATGAGGACGCAGCTGACCGGTCCGCCTCTCTCTCCTGCCTCTCTCTCCTGTGTTGCGCCTCTCTCTCTCTCTCTCTCTCTCTCTCTCTCTCTCTCTCTCTCTCTCTCTCTCTCTCTCTCTCTCTCTCTCTCTCTCTCTCTCTCTCTCTCTCTCAGCTCAGCTCTGCTCTCCTCTCCCCGCCTCTCCTCTCGCTCTCCTCTTCCCGCCTCTCCCCACCGCCCCTCCCCTCCCCGCCACACCTCTCCCCACACCTCTCCGCATCCGGCTTCGCCTCTCAGGCGACCTCTACTCCGGCAACTGGGGCAAGAAGGACGCAGACACCGGCGAGCTACGGCCTGGCGGGACGCGGCGCGAGCAGCACGGGGCCCTCCTCGGACCCTTCCCGGAAGTGTCCCGCAGGCGAGCTGGGAGAGCTCGACATCGAGCACATGACTCTGCTGCACCTGGCGCCGCACGAGTGCCACACCAAAGCCGGATCGAGAGGGGCTCGAGAGGGCCAGAGGCGCTGTCGAGAGTGCCGTTAGGCGCTGGAGCGACTCGATCCCAAGGAGGACGAAGACGACGACCCGGTCCCGCTGACCGCCGCCGCGCGCGCAGAGGCCGCCAAGCGAAGCTGGCGCAGGGCCTCGGAGAGGTTGCGGGAGGAGGGTCGAGAGGGCGGGTCGAGGGTGTAGGCGGTCGAGCTGGTCAAGATGCTCCTCCGGCGGGGGGCAGACGTCAACGCGCGGGACCACTACGGCGGCACGCCGCTCAACCAGGCGACAGATCGGACCAGATCGGACCGAGATCGCCCCGAGATCGCCTCGAGATCGCCCCGAGATCGCCCCGAGATCGGACCGATATCGCCCCGAGATCGCCCCGAGATCGCCCCGATGGCCCCGAGATCGTCCCGAGATCGGACGAGATCGACCCGAGATCGGCCCGAGGCCAGGCGGTGGGCGCCGGCTTGCACGACATGGCCGAGCTGCTCTGCTCGGCGGGCAGTAGATCTCCCTCACATCTCCCCCTCGTCTCCCCCATATCTCCCCTAGACTCCCCCTTCACCGCCCCCATATCTCTAACCCCCCCCCCACAAACACACACACATCTCTACCCCCACTCTCTCCTGTCTCTCCCCCGCATCACCCTCGCGCCACCCCGAGATCGCATCTCCCCCCACACCACCCCGAGATCTTCCCGAGCGCAGGCTGGCGCCGACCCGGCCGCGGCTGGCTGCAATCTCCCCCATATCTCCCCCACACCCCGAGCGCAGGCTGGCGCCGACCCGGCCGCGACTGGCTGCAAGCCGATCGGGACGGCCAACACGGTGCTCCACCAGGCGGCGGCGCGAGATTGCCCCGAGAGACGGCCCGAGAGCGAGATCGAGATCTCGCGAGGTGGAGCGAGATCGAGATCTCGCGAGGTGGAGCGAGATCGAGATCTCGCGAGGTGGAGCGCCAGGCGGCGACGCGAGGCGACGGCGAGATGGTCCGGCTGCTGCTGCGCCTCAACCCGCACCTGGACGTTGGCATCGGCGGGCAAGCCTAGATGCAGACTAGATGTGCAGAGGAGGGCAAGCTTAGGGGCAGATCCGTGCATTGGACGCGAGATACACACGTCCCCGAGGTGGTAGCCGAGGGGTGGCCGAGGTGGTAGCCGAGGTGTAGCCGAGGTGCAGCCGAGGTGGCCCTGGTCCAGAAGAGGGCCCTAGAAGCGGCGCACGGGCCTCTGTCTCCCGCCTGGCCCCTGAGAGGAGACAAGGGCTCAGACACCGCACTCCCTCCCACTCTGCTCTGCTGCACTCGTCGCGCGCGCCCTCCCGCGCTGCGGCCGAGTGCGCGGCCGACTGCCTAGCGTGAGACCCTCCACTCCCGCCCTGCCTCCAAGTCTCTCCATGCTCCTCTTCATGGGGTGTCTGGTCGTTGGCGCGTAGGCGGGCAGAACGGACTCACCCCGCTCTGCATGGCCGCGCGCTCCAACAAGGTCGAGGCCGCCCGCGCGCTAGTCGAGGGCGGCGCGGACCCAAGGGCGCGCCTATGAGCACGAATCTCGGCGAATCTCGGCGAATCTCGGCGAATCTCGGCGAATCTCGGCGAATCTCGGCGAATCTCACCTCACTTTGCCATGCCCGAGAAGGCGATCTGCGGCGTCTGGCAAGTCGGCGCTCGAGATCGGCCGAGATCACCCGAGATCACCCGAGGTTAGGCGGTCTCGGCGTTTGGAAAGTCGGCGCTCGAGATCGCGCGCACATGCGAGAGGAGTGCGACGGCCCAACCGCCCCGGTCTTTCATTGTGCACCTTTCTTGTTTTCAGGCGCGCACCAACAAGCGGGCTGCCATCCTGCGGCTCTTTGGCGAGGAGGCGTGAGGGCTCGGGGGCGGGGGCGGGAAGGGGGGGGGGGGTCTGGAGGAGGGCAGAGGGGAGGAGGGCTTAGGGGTGGAGGGCTTATTAGGGGAGGAGGGCTTATTAGGGGAGGAGGCGGGTTCAGGTCCCAGGGGGGGAGGGCATAGGGGAGGAGGGGGAGTGGAGGCCGTCACAACTAGTCCCCAATAGCAGCGCCGTCCTTTGGGTCGCCGTCCCGCGCCCCCTCCTCTGCTGGCCGGCCTCGCTCCCCGCCGGCGACCTCGTCCAACCGCAGCCGCGCTCTGACGTCTTGCAGAGTGCGGTATTTGCGAGGCTTGGCATAGGCCGAAGGCCCCGGAATGAGCGTACGGGCTGCGCGGCCTCCGTTCGTTTGCTTCCATGTTCGCAGCGCGCCGGCGCGAAGCTCGACGACGAGCGACCGTGCGGGCGTTGCTGCTGGCGTCGGTTTTTGAAGATCACGCGGACGGAGTGTCGAGATACGTACGCGTGATCCAGTTTCTTATAATTTCGTTTATCGGCCAAAGGCGGCGTTATTAGATATTTAATCTATCAGATTTGTTACACACAACACACACACCAGTCGCAGTCCCACCGGTGCAGCAGCCAGCACACCAGAGTGAGGCTGAGGGATCTTGGCGAGACGATTGAGGGGTCCCCGTACGTCAGTAGAGTATCCAGTGCTCATACAACCGGCACAACGGTCACAGCGAATGTGAAACCCCCTCGGAAATACTGGATCTTTGCCTTGGCTCCTTGGGGCCCCTCTGTCAGATCAAGAAGCGTGCACAGAGCAAAATTGGTAGAACCGTCTCCCTTGAGCTGCTGCGCCACTCTCGTAAACTCGTCGACGTAGCCACGTACGTGCCATATTTGGCTTGGCGGCTCGCTACCTGTCGGGTCACTCGTTGCGAAATCCTCGCGGGGCCGGAAGAATTCAGGGTAGCTCGCAGAACCATATTCGACGACGGCCACGATGCTCTCGTTCAGGTTTGTGTTGAACGCCTCGTCTTCAGACTCACATTGCGACACCCGATGGAAGCGTGTGCCGCCTTGGAGCGGCGAAAATTTATTCTCCTGCCAGAGACGAGCGTCGCTGGAAAACGTTATACCAAATTGCTGCTCGACACTCGCTCGCTCCGTTGAAGTGCCCATGAAAATGCCAGCGGCGGTAGCCAGGCTGCGCGCGTGAGCAGCTCTTGGAAGGACCCTGCCTTGTGTCCCCAGGGATGATAAGAGAGGCAATGTCGACTTGTTGCTTCTTGCCAGGCGAGCCGCCTTCGGCATCGCCATGTGGGGAGGACGCACGACGCAGCGATTCGTTCGTCTCTGCGTTGCGACGTACCGTGGAAAAAACCGAAGAACCCTACTCTCAACATTAATTCTCGCTCGTTCAACGTAGAAATTTATTTCTTGAGCACTTGAGCACTTGATAGGGTCGATTCCGCATGGTACGGGACCCCTCGATTTATTTCTGTGTAATGTAACTACTTACCTCCTGCCTGCCGCCTCCTTCCACCTCGCCCACGCCTCCGCCTCCCTCCACCTCCCCCCACCACCGACCGCCAGTCGCTGGCGGTACACAACTCGTGTATCATGCTTCGGCGACCCCCCCCCTCAATCAATCCTGTCGCCACCACCTCGCCCACGCCGCCCCCACCCTCAAGGACTGGTCTCCAAAAAGAAATTACGTTGAACCCATGCGGCGCTTTTATTTCTCCTTGGCGCTGGCGAGGGCGCGCGGCCGGGGGCGTGAGACGGGTCGCCGGATCGCACCGCTCGACCGAGCTGCAGACGGCGCCGTTGTTCCATATGCATCGCGACCAAGAGCCCACACGCGCCGCCACGATGCATATATCTCATCGAAGCATAAAAAGAAAAAAACCAGGCAATCTCAAGAGCATAACGCAAAACCAACCATGTCTCTTCACACTACACACGCGGGAGTCCTCATTACCCTTGCCAAGGACCTTCCGCTCATATCATCCGCGAGCCTCGCTGGGCACCACCTTCCGCGTCGAACAGCTGGAAGGCATCTGACGTCATACCTGCGTGGCGCATCATCTGGCACTGGGTGCAAGCGAAGCACCAGTAAGAAAGGCACACGTCCTCGCAAGCGTCGTGGCAGTACAATGCAGGAATCTGGTGGGCAGCGCGTTGGCGGCGGCGCGCAGAGCAGGTGAGGACGACCGCTGTGATCATGACGGTGATTGAGACCAGCGCCAGCACATGAAAGGCAAGCCAGTCGGGCTGTGAAAGCCACATAGGCACAGGCGCGAGGGTGAAGCAGGGGTCGCCCGCCTCAACCTGCCTCCCCCCGTTCCAGCCGGCGCGAGGGAAGACCAGGTGGTCTGCGCCGATGGCGGACTCCTCGCACAGGACCATTGACGGCGCGAACAAGATGTTGTTTACTCCATTCAGGACCTGGTTTCCCCAGAAGATGCAGACGAGCAGGGCAAACATGAGCTGCGCCTTGGTACCCGTGTAAGCGTACCTTAGCCAGAGCTGAGTGGTCGTGATTGGGTAGCAGAAGCAAACAGATAAGGAGCTCGTTGTATCCGCACAGATGTCAAACAGTCCCGAGGACCAGCGGCGGCTCACGGCGTTTGGCTTTGCGTCGTTCATCCTCCCACTCTCGGGATCGGGAGCCGGAGAGGGCACAGAGGGTATTGGGGCCACAATCGTCGCTTGCTCCTTCATCTTGGCGGTCAACAGCACCAGCGCCACCGTGTGCGAGGCCGACGGACGAAGGCGGCCACAGAGGTTTGGGCGTAAAAAGGGACGAGCACTACAATCCAAATCAAACGCGCGCCGCGTGGGCTAAACGCTACGTGAGTCTATCACCTCGAACTCGAGACTAGATCGGCTTCCGGTACCACCCTCTGCAGTGACTACCCACGTCCCTGCGGCATGAATGGAGCGTCGCCGAAAATCAAAGCACAAGAAACCGCAACTGTCTGCAGTGCCAAATTTTGGTGAAAATGAGTCCTTCCCAGTAGGATCGTGGTACTGGCGGTGGACAGCCTCCGAAGGGACGCCGAGCCAAGCAAAGGAGAGGCGCTCTCCGATGCCATGCACAGCGCGTACCTGTGCATTGAGCCCCGGCGGATACTGGGCGGAAAGGGGTCCACCAACGTGTCCTCGAAACTCCTGCTCAAACATCGGCGGCGTCTGTCCAAAGACTGTCTCAAAAGACTCGCCAAAGGACTCACCGCCGGCCATCCGCTGAAGGACTTGCCTCAAGGACCCGAGGCCCGCGGCGTGGCCTCGAACCAGGAACTCGACAGCGAGATGAGCCAACTCCCCCACGTGACCCGCAGTGGAGACCAACGCAGCGCCCCAACGCGCCCCGGATCTGAGAGGCACGAGCAGTGGCAGCGTTGCGACACGCGCCGCGCCGACTGCCTTTGCCTCGCGAACGAAGCGGATCTTGTCCCCGTAGGCTGGGTCTGACTCCGCGGCAATGGCCATCGCAAGCGCCTCGGCACAGCCTTCGTTGAACCACGTCGGTATGCGCCTCTTTGGTGCGAGGCTCCTAATCACCTGGTGGCCCATCTCGTGTGCTATGGTTCGCAGAGCGGCCAACAGGCACCAGAACTGGCCCGCGTCGTGAAAGGTTCCGGGCCGTGGCCCAGTGGCGATGCTCACGCCACGGCACGTTGGACCGAGGCCGCTTGACCTGCCGAGCTCGATTGCCGCACGTCGGCACTCAGCGGCTGAGCGGAGCAAGTACACGTTGAGGTCGAAGGGTTCGGCTTTGAGTAGACCAAAGATGCGACGGGCCGCCAGAAAGCATGCCCTCCGCCCGTGCTCAAGTGCGGCGGCTTTGACACCGCACTGAGTGCGGACCCGCACCAATAGCTCCACAGGCTGGTGCCCAGGTGCCCCGCCGCATGCGCTGAATGCGAGGCATTCCAGGTCGAACTCCCAGCCGTCAATCACCTCGCGAGTGCAGGACTGATCGCCGGGATCCGCAGGCTCCATGACACACACATAGTTTAGTACGTACAAAAGAGAGAACCCATCATCGCGTGTTGTTTAATAAATTTTACATGGTTACGCGGTATTAAACTAAAAGTACAAAAAACTGGAATGGAAAGGGTCCTCACGACGCGATGTCTGCTCGCATTCTCACACCTAAAGATACGTCGTACGTCCCTCTTTTCTTCATTCAGTCAGCACGATGTGGGCGCTTTCCGGACCCCAGCGCAGCGTCTCAGATCCGTCCTCTCATGACCCAATCTGCTCGCCCCTGCCATCTGACGTTGTCGCCGATAACGACGTGGAGATGTGCGACGCGACTGAACAATCCATCTATCTCGCAGGACCAACCAAAGAAAGAAAGAAAGAAAACGGACAGCCCAAGGGAGGGATGTGAGCTGGCCGCTGCGGAGACCTCACCCGCGGCACGTTTGGAGAGGACCAGAATGACGACTAGCCTTCCATTGAAACCAACCCTCCTTTCCAAAGTCACAAGCTAAAGATGTTCAGACACGGGCCTCCCGGAGGGGGGTACTCTTTAGCTGTACTCTCCCGTATGGGAAGCCCCCGGTACTCTCTAGCTGTACTCGCCTGGCAGGGGTTGAATTGATACCCGCTGGGTAGGTCAGCTCGAGGAGCTGTATGTGATCTGTGATCTGTGAGGGTCCGCCCGCAGGCGCATTTTGTATACCGAGGCGGTGCCCGGTGCCGAACCTGTCGGACCTTAAGACAGCATTGTAGATCCCTGGGCGAGGGTGGTGGCGTCCCCGTCGGGTCAGGGCTGAAGGCGGGGGAGACCAACCCGATCTCTCCGGCGTCCCGGGAGCGTGATTGACACCTCCCCCCGTGCCGAGGAGCTGTATGTACCTGAGTCGGGCACTCAAGGCGTACCGCACGGCGGAGAAAAAGGCGGCGGACGAGGATCCGCTAGCTGTGACCCGTGCCACTCTGTCTGTCTACATCTGCTTGTTTGTTAAACTCGAGTTGTTTGTTTGTCTTCCCGCTCCGGTGAGGCTGTATCAGGGCCCAGGGGCCAGGGGGAGGGGCCCGGTGATGAGAACACGTTCCGAGCCTAGCTACACACACATTCTGATCCATTCTTTCCCGTTACCTTCCCACTCAGGTGCGAACAGACCTTCAGCTTCACTTCAAATAAATCCCGAGCCGAACAAGACCTCTTCGGTATGCTGTTGGCAATACCTGACAACCTGACTGAGGAAGATCCTCCCACTTTACCACCCCCGACCGAGGTGCGGCACATCCACAAGTTCGAGAGTTGTTGCAAGTTCGTGGGTGGGTGCATAGGTTTTTGAATTGAAGAAACCCTCGGGGCCCACCCCGACCACCCTGGACGTGACGCAACTCGCCTTGGACGGTGGTGTACATGCTGCAACTCTGGCTCGCAACCGCCGGCATCTCGCGCACGCCGCCGCTGCGCGCTCGCACTCCGCTGGCAAGCATCGCTGAGTCGGCGAGCGTTCACTCGCCGCTCGCCTCCTCTGCGCTCACCGCCGTCTCCTGCCACCCGGTGGTGACACGCAACGAGTACTGCTCGTGGTTTGCAAAGGGCGAGGCCACTGACGAGCAGGTCAAGGACCTGGTCGTTCAGTTCTCCGTCTTCTCCAACCTCTTCCTCCTCGCCCAACTGAACAAGGTCATCAACTCGCCGACGCTGGAGGGCGCACGCGAGGGCAAGGAGATCCTCGCCAACGAGATTGGGGTCGTCTTCAAGCCAAAGAAGCAGAAGACGGCCGAGCTGGCGCGCGAGGCGGCCGCCAAGGGCTTCGATCCGAGCGTCGTCGGTGTCACCGGCTCTGTCGAGGGCGGAGTCTTCTCGCACCGCGCCGCCCACTTCGAGTGGCTCTGCGACGTCGGCAAGGACATGGGGCTGAGCTTTGACCAGCTGGGCAAGCGGCGCCACGGATCGGAGGCGACGCTCCACTTTTGCGACGCGCTGTACCGCATCTACGGCTCCGAGGACCTGTCCACCGCGCTCGGCGCCTCCTTTGCCATCGAGCACTGGGCCAACGCCGGCTTTTGGGACCAGCTGATCGAGGGGTTCGAGCTGCTGAACGCCAAGCGGCCGGCGGGGGCGAAGCGGTACCCAATGGGCTTCTGGCGCTTCCACCAGGCCCTCGAGGCGCAGCACGCCGCGCACACGATGGACGAGCTCGAGGAGGCCATCGAGGACGGGCTCATCTCGGACGAGGTCCGCTTCCGGCAGGCGGCGCACGAGATGCTGGACGCGTGCTCCATCTTCTGGGAGGGCCTCGAGGCGAGCCGCCAGGGCCGCCCGTACTCGGTGACCACGCTCAAGGCGCGCTAGTCGCGCTCCCGCCGCACCTGCGGCCCGGCCGGCGAAGGTCGCACCTGCAAGCATCAAAGCGCGCGCTTAGCAGAGGGCGCCGGTGCCCGCCTCGCCTGCGGAAGAGAAGAAGCGCACGGAGCTCTGGGATGTCGATAAGAGCAAAGGCTTGCACCGAGCGCGGGAGGCGTTCCTGTGCCACTGTGTGCGTGAAGGAAGCGTGGGAGCTCTCGTGGCAGGGCCAGCTGGGGAGAGAGTACCCGGTCGACGGTGGGGAGAGACCGACTGCGGGAGCGAGGTCGCTCCGAGGAGTGGTCGGTGCAACGAGAGAGTCGTGATATGCGGGAGCGGATGCGAAGCAGCGGCTTGGTGAGCGGAGCGGAGGAGTGCGAAGAGTCGAGCGTTGCAGTGTTGTGCGAGGGCTAACGAAAGAAAGGGAGCGTGGGAACAACCGGGCTCGCTGTTTTTTGGTGGCACATTTGGAGGGCGCGCGCCGCAGAATCCAGAAAGAAAGAAAGAAAACACACAAGAGGGAGGGATGGGAGGACGGCATGCCGCCACCACACAGGGATTTTAAGGAGAGGAGTGTGGTGCTAGCCGTCGCCCACCCTGACCCAAGAAAGAAAGAAAACATACAACCCAAGGGAGGGATGGGAGGACGGCACGCCGCAACCATAGAGGGATTTTAAGGAGAGGGGTGTGGTGCGCTAGCCGTCGCCCACCCTTGGGCGTCTGCCTCTTCCTATCTCTCTTCGCAGTCTCTCGCCGATTCTTGCTGCAACCTTCATGCCACCTCGCGGTCGTCCCACTCTCGTCGTTCTCCCTCTTGTCGCTTCCTCCTCTGTCGCGTCGCTCTCCTCTGCCTCGTTCTGCGCCGCCGCCGCCGCCTGCCGCTCCCTTGCTCTCGCGGCTTCTCTCACCTTTCGTCGCAGCTCTGCCCTCCTTGCTGCATATTTTTTGGCCCCTCGTTGACGTTGTTGTCGAGCTTATCGAGCTCTCCTCGCGCAAGGACGACTCTTCTGACGCCCACTGCGATCATCTGCCGCCAAGTCATATCGTTGCTCAGGTCCACTCTCTCCTCGAACACTTGTGCCTCCACGGATGATGCTGGCGCTGGGGTCCCCTTCGGGTGCATCGTGACAGCTGGCGACGAGATTACCACAGGTGTTTCGTCCTCCTCGGAGTCTTCTTCCCCGGCTTCCTCCCGTTCGGCTCTACGTTCAGCGTGGCTCACCCTCCATGCCGTGAACTGAGCCTAGCGCGCAGAGATCGACTCATCTTCTTTCCAGCGAAGCTAGCCAGATTCGCCAGGATGCTCGCGGCCGTCGCTGCGCTGTTGTCCTTCACCGCCCCGCTCGCGAGCCGGCCGGTCGCGCAGCGCGGCGCGGCAGTCAGCATGGGCGAGAAGGCGCGCGCGCAGCGCGCTGACCGTCGCCACTCTCGGTCTCGCCGTATTCCGCCGCCCTGCGTGCTCACCGCAGACGGCCGCGCTCTGCGCAGGTGCTCTCACTCGACAACATGGGCCTCTACAGTGGCAAGGCGGCGCAGGCGCGCGCTCCGTCCGCGCGCTCCTGCGCAGCCAGCCGGACACGAAACCGGAAGCACAGCTCTGACTGCTTCGTCCCGTCTGTGCCCGCAGAAGGCACCCGTGCGCGTGCTCACCCGCATCGAGGACCTGCGCGTGCTCACCAGCCTTGCCGAGGTGAGCTGCCGCCCGCGCTAGCCGGCTGCGTCGTGCGCGCAGCTCTGTCACCGACTCGCGTCTCGCGGCGCCGTCCCTAGGCGGGCGTTCTCTCGGCCGCGGAGGAGGCGGGCGTCTTCTCCAAGCTGGAGAGCGCGGGCGCAATCAGCCAGGCCGAGAAGCTGCTGCCGCTCGCCGACAAGCTGCAGGTCCTTGCGCTCGCCGAGACCCTCATCAATGTGCCGGCCGGCCTGCTCACCGCCGCTGCCGTCGCGCTGCTCGCTGGCGAGGTCGGGCTGATTGCTGCGGTGCCAGACGACAGCGCGCCGCTGGTCGCCCTACAGCTGGTGTCGGGCGGCGTGGCCGGCTTGGGCGCTGTGGTGCTGCTGGCGTCGGGCGCCCTCTTCTCGGCGCTCCAGAGCACGGACTAGGTTTGCACTCAGGCGGGCACGCAGCTGGCACGCAGGTTGGAAAGCTCCGAGGGCTTCATCTCTCCCGCTCGGGCTCGGAGGCGGTCGTCGGACGGGTGTTGTGGGGGGTGCGCGTTCTCTGTGATGGGCAGCGCGAAACGCATGGCGGCGTGGGTGGTGCAAGGGAATGTGCGCAAGCGAGCGGACGAGCCGACGAGCGCGCGGACGGCGCGTGCCTTTTCTCGCGGCGTCCGGGGCGTGACGCGTGTGCGGCTATAGCCCTATAGAGTTGGTGAGAAACACGTGTCCCGTCGCGTTACGGCTTACGCGTGCCCGAACTATGACTTTAGCATCGGCTACTCTCGCCTCGTCTCGGTCCGAGAGCGCCGCATATTCGACTATCACTACGTTTTCTACCCGACCGTAGACCGTACGAGGTACGAGAGGGACTATAGAGTCTAGAGACACGGTACCGTGGAGTGTCCGTGTGTCCCGGGGGGGGATATGTGCGCCTCCTCCAGTGGAGAGATCGAGCTCGACCTGAACGGTCAGCGGCGCGACCGCTGAATCGCAGCCGTTCGTGCTACACGCATGCTTCGTTACATTTTCACATTACTTCCCCCCCTCCCTACCACCCTGCCGGGCAATAGGGTTGCCGCAAACTCGATTTTTTGTTTGCTCACTTCGGCCGCGGCGGCAGCACCTCCTCGCTGGTCGATGGACAAGCTCAGAGCTGCGGCAGCGAAGGCGGCGGAGGAAGCCAAGGCGGCAGGCGCACAGGCGGCGGAGAAGGTCGAGGCGGAGCTCAGAGCTGCGGCGGAGAAGGCCAAGGCGGCAGGCGCACAGGCGGCGGAGACGGCCGAGGCAGAGCTCAGAGCTGCGACCGAGAAGGCCAAGACGGCAGGCGTGCAAGCGGCGGAAAAGGCGCAGGCGGCGGGCGTTCAGATCTCGGCGAAGGCCCAAGCCGAGCTTGCCCAGGCGGCAGAAAGGGCCAAGGCGGCGGGCGCCGAGGCGGCAAGCAGTGCGCTGGAGAAGGCGGCCACCGCGAGCAAGCCGCACCTTGACCGGGCGGCGGCGGCGAGCTCTGAGGCGCTCGGCGAGGCCGCCGACTTGGCTGCATCGGCGAGCAAGCTGGCGGCCGAGCGAGCGGCGACGGCCGGCACGCACGCGGCCGCAGCCAGCAAGCTTGCGGCTGGTGCCGCGGCGGAGCAGGTCAAGAAGGCGAGCGGCGCGACTCTCGAGCAGGCGTCGGCCCGGCGCACGGGGGCTGTGCCTTCCAGCACATGCCTTCCAGGACGTGCATGTGCAGGACATGCACGGGGCATGCCTACAGGCGTCAGCCAGGAGCACCGCCTACCTGCGGCGGCTGCGCAACCAGGCGCTGAAAGAGGCCCGGCTCCCCAATCACCTCTCTCCTCACAGCAATGGATGGACAGGTGGGGAAGAGTCTGAACGCGGTATGGGTGGCACGCTAGCGACAGAGAGACAGCCACACTGGAGCGACACACAAGACCCACAAACCAGACACTCGGCCAGCTGGGCTGCCAGGTGTTGGGTGCGATCTTCGCGGGACTCGCCGTCTACTCCTTCGCCTCCAGCGCGCCACGGCAGATCAAGGAGTACCTGCTGGAGAGGGAGAAACTCAAGGGCGGCGGTCACTCGGGTGTCGACACGCCGCGCCCGGGCGGGAACGAGAGCAACCCGCCGGCGGACGAGGCGGGAGGCAAGCCGTGGTGGCAGGTGTGGCGGTGAGCGGGGTGTGAGAGCATACGTCGCGACTGTAATTTGTGTAAGAGATGAGAAACAAGAAATCACGGGGAAGGGGCCACGGTCGCACAAGGGATACCTGATCTAACCCCGTATCGCCCCCCACGTGCCCACCTGCCAACAGCCAACACCCCTCCCCGTTTCTCGGCCGGTCGTCCCCACTGACGTCGCTCTCCTCTCTCACTGTGTGGTACAGCACGTGTCTCTCGCCTCAGACCCCGAGGGGCCCCGCCGCGCCCACTTGCTCGTGCACCTCGCCGCTCGGCAGCATGACCTTGAGCGAGCCGTCCGCAAAGACAATCTCCTTGAGGCCGTCAGCAAAGTGGCGCTCCACCTGGCCGTTCGGGAAGTGGTAGAGCTGCGTGCCGTCGGGCTCCGAGACCTAGCGCATGGATGCAGGCGAGGGAGGGGGTGGGGGACGGCCTCTCGAGCCCCTCCTCACGTCAACCCACCGAGCAGCTGCCTGCCGTCGAATACGGTCGCCTCCTCGAGTGCCAGCTGGAGTGCGAGAGGCAGCTAAGTCCCGCATCTAGGGCTGCCGAGACGTGCGTGGTATCTGCCTCTGCGTGGTAGTAGACGACGCGCCGCGAAGTCGCCGTCTGCTTGACGTCGCCGTTGCAAAAGAAGACCGTCTGCAGCCCGCTCGGCAGCACGTCCTTGCGCGTGCCCGTCGCGTACAGCACCTCGCACCGGCCGGAGCGGTAGAGCCTCTCCACCTTGCCGGCGGCCAACCTCGGGTCATCTCGGTGTCATCTCGGGTGCTCTCGGTTCATCTCGGTGTCATCTCGGGTCATCTCGGGTCATCTCGGGTCATCTCGGGGCATCTCGGGGCATCTCGGGGCATCTCGGGTGCTCTCGGAGAATCTCGCGTGCTCTCCACCTTCCCGTCGGCATGCGAGTCCTCCTGCACCGGCCGCCCCTCCTCCACAGGCAGCGGCTCGAAATACGGGTTCGCAGACAGGACCGCACACCCGTGATCGCGGCTCATCCCGTGCAGCCGCTCGGCGGTGGCCGCCGCCGCCGCCTCGGCCGCCGCCTCGGCCGCCGCCTCGGCCGCCGCCGCCGCCTCGGCCTCTGCCCTCGCCTCCGCTGCCGCCTCCGCCTCCGCTGCCTCCGCCTCCGCCGCCTCCGCCTCCGCCGCCTCCTCCTCCGCCGCCGCCTCCTCCTCCGCCGCCGCCTCCGCCGCCGCCTCCGCCGCCGCCTCCGCCGCCGCCGCCTCCTCGTCCTCCTCCTCCTCCTCGTCCTCCGACCGGAGGTACCTAATCTCGGGTCATCTCGGGTCGTCTCGGGCAATCTCGCCCTCCTCGTCCGACCGGAGGCGGCACTCGGACGCGTCGTACGCCGCCGTGATGCCGACGCCGCCGCCAAGTCTGCCGCGACCGTACTCACCGCTGCCGCGACCGTACTCGCCGCTGCCGCGACTGTGCTCGCCGCTGCCGCGACCGTGCTCGCCGCTGCCGCGACCGTGCTCGCCCGAGACGAGGCGCGACGGGTGCCTGTGCGTCAAGTGAGGCATGGCCCCCTCCCCTCCCCATTCTTAAGGGGTGACTCACATTCATATTCGAGCCCGACCTAGTTGATTTATACCACCCGTCTCTTTCAATGGTCATTATTGTCCGTTATGTGATAGATGCTCCATTCTTCGTTCCTAACGCTCTCTTATGGACCCCCCATCACGATCTGTTCATCGTTTATTCCTCCTGCTCTGTCCCTAATTTTTTTTTTAAGAC